AGAGGTATCACAACAATTGGACATTTAACCGGATAAGAACTCTTTCCTTCACAGTGAGCATGAAACCCAATTCCGTTTTCCGAAACCACTATCGTAGCAACTCAAAAAGGTACAGATCAATTTGTTTTTGTCTTTTTTTATGTTCCGCGTGCTCATCTGTATAGAGTTTAGCAGAAATGTCTTCTTTCCATACAAGCGAGCACATTTGATATGGCATCATCTTAAGAAACGAATTGTGAGAGACAAGAAGACAGAGAGGGTGCTGAATGTGTGAAAGAGAGAGACAGAGAGGTGGGAAGGGTATGGAGAAAGGGGGTGGGGGGAGACAGAGAGAGTGAGTGAGAGAGAGAGGGAGGGGAGAGTAGGAAGAATGAGAGATGGTAGATAGTGAGAGAGGAGAAAGAGAGTATGAGGAGGGAGAGAGTGAGTGACTTGCTTATGCTGTTATGTCTTGGTTGATATTTAAGTGTACTGTGTGAAATGAGGTGTTCTTCCCCTAATCAGCCCAATGTCTGGCAGTGCATTCAGGAGCCAATCAACGTTTATGAAGAGCAATGACTTCGTTAAAATGATCCGAACACAAAAAACGTTGGGGTTCGTACCCTGCGGAAGACCCAATCCCATGATCTTTCTTGTGTGTGCGTGAGGGGGGGGGGGGCTTAGAAGACGGAGCCTGAGGCCCAGTATAAAGCCATAGAGCTTCCACACACATTTTTCTCACCATATATTATAAAAGGATAGCAACTGTCAGTCCTTATCAGTGCGGCTGGTGCGGATACAGAAGGACCCTCCTTCATTATTGCTTTATACCATTCGACAGATGACGTTGACGCGCTTCCTCTTTTCGTCCCAGCCGGCTCACGGTGGTCGAGTCTGCGCAGGCCGGGCTCACCCCAAAGGCATAGCCCAGGCGAGGTTCAACTTCACATACCCTTATCGACCAGAGCCGTGAATTTATCATAGATTATGATCACAGAGAGGCATAGGATGTGTTTGTATCCCTTTGCTTTAGAATCTTACCTTCTTAAAATCGTTTGCAGTTCAAATAGAACACAATTACTAACAATTGTAACTGTTATTATACAATTTTACTGCTCTTAACTCCACCCTCTGTTTAAGTCCCTTTAAAGCGCCAACGCTTGGTCTAGACTTTTTCATTTGTGTACCAACCGGCAAACTACACCCGGGGTGACGATTTAGGATATTTGCCCCAAGGAGTGAGCCAAAACCCTGGAAGGACTCTTTTCTTCTTCAAATTTTAAGCTGCCTCTTCGGGGACATATTTCATGCTGGTTGCCATAAAATGTTAAATAACTCAAGACTATAAAAATGTACACCTTTCCCACAGCTCCTTTTCATGTAGATTAGAAAGATATGGATAAAGATGTATAAGATCTCACACACAATGAATATGATAACCGCTGTATTTGACTGTGAATATAGAGGGTATTGTTTAAGAATGCTTTGCGCCATCCCGCCATGATTTTTGAGATCAGTCAGTCGCGAACGAGGTTGGCGCACAGGAGTAAGAAATTTGGCTCATTTTGACAACAGAGACTACAGGATGCAATGAGGCCCAGGTCGTAACTGCATTCTTAAATTTGGGTTAATCATCATGCCAGCTGCTAAATGTTGCTTAGCATTTTTTTCCACTGCATATATAAAGTTATCAAGGCTAAGCAGTATGTATTCATGTATACATTCATGGTACTGATGTTAAGAGCAGCGAGTTTTTATTTCAGATTGATTGACTGATTAACTTGCAGATAAAAGTGACGAAATGTACATAAATAAACACGCTTCGTGAACTTCTTTCCTTTCCTCGAGATTTGGTGCGTAATCTGTAATCACTAAACTTGAAAAGAAAAAACGCCTGGGCATATTTTCATACTGAGATCGATTCATTAATGGTTTTAGCAATTAGAAAATAGAAACTAATTGTTAATTCCTGATTTGGGCATAAGCTTTCTCCCAAATGTTCATGCTAGGTTCTTTCTGAACAGCGAAACGCACATGCATACAGAAAGACATGTTGAGAGACAGACACAGATCGACAGAGAGAGAGAGGGAGAGAAAATCTGAAAAAAATATATCTATATTATTTTGACGAAACTATCTACCGTTTTCCATGACAATAGTTTCCATTCTACTCAGCATCTACTGTGAAATTTGTGATCCATCTTCCGAAGATTCCTTTTTGATTGTGTAATGCAAGTCCACAAATATTACGTTGTAGGCAAACTTAAGCAGCCAACTGTAACAGATATAAGTTTCATGTACAAAATATTTCATACTGATGCACATGACCATACAGTGAGTAGCGTATTCAGCGCACGCCACCGACAATCACTACCTACAATATCTCAAGTTCTGATGTGGACAAATATATGCGTATGATATATAATCTGGGAATGGGAATGTGGGAATATTCATATTTCTCGGTGACAATAAGTCGTTGACAGAACGATAATTTACAATTTACTTTATTCAACATGACATA